TACGCGCATCATGTTCTTCATATGTTCTTCCTCAAGGTCCAAGTCGCTGACTTGGTCGCGAGCGAACTGTGGCCGAAGTAATGACCTCGCATGCGCCCATTGCTCGCCATCGCTGGAAAACTGCTTGATGTCAGCGTCTGACGTTCTTGTCGCATTCCTGAGAATAGTACTTACAATGCCATGGCCGAGTAGTGGAGCAAAGTTCCCGTTTCGCCTTTCTCCTAACCCGTAGTCCTTGAATTGCGTGGCCAGTATAGCCTGGATGTTCCTTGGTTCCACTGTGAAGTATCCCTCTGCGCCCATGATCTTTTGATGGAATGTGTTGACGATCTTGCCTTCCCTCGCGCACGCATCATCAACGCGACCTTTCAAATACTGCGGTATACGGGATTGTTTGTCCGCCTTCATTATTTTGGCAACATTCTGGAGTCCAAGGGGATCGAATGGAGACTGCTGAGTCTCAGGGGCAGGCAAACAGCCCAATTGACGTGCTCTAGCAGCATGGCGACGCGAGATGATGATCGAGGAGATGATCTTGTAGAGGACAAAAGAAATGCCAGCCCAAGCGGCTAAGAGGATGGAGTTGTGCATGTTGGTAACAGAACTATGTGAGGTGAACACGCAGCCGTGGCAGCTTTCGTCTGTTGGGGAGAAGTTCTCGAGAAGGATTGACCCTTTTAAGTATCTAGGTATAGAACTCAATCGCACTACCAACGCGCCAGGGTCCCTGTGGCGCTTCCGCTGCAACAGCCATTCACGTGAACTGCCGCAAGGATAAAGAGGAGCCAGACCCACGAGGCGTACACATGTTCACAGGCGTTAGTTCCTCGGAACCGTATCGCGCCCTGTTCGCACACGGGAGCGGATAGTTATGACCTCCGAGTTCGTTTTTGACTACGGGTATTCTGCTTCCAGTCCACTGGGTCTGCTGTCCATGGAGATGCCACGCGTTCCCCGCATTTTGCATCGGACATCTTGGCTCTGGCGAAGTCGTACTTTTTACTCGGACGAATTCTGTCCATTTCTCGCGTGCAATACGCCTCGGTAATTATGGTTGTGCGACCGTTGCGTCGGAGGCTAAAGAGCTCAGGCGCAACTGAGGGTCGCTTAGGAGTAAAGTGCCATCTTTTACAATAGAATGGATCCACTTGCAACGTTTCTTGATTACTCGATAAGCCGTGTGTCTAGACGCCTGTCTCGTAGCGACTCGCAGCAGCAGCGCGTGTAATTGTGCAGAAGGATGAGGTTGCAGCCTGCAAACGTGCGAGTACTGCGCGCATCTGGCTGCCAAGGAGTCCGAAGCTGGTGAAACTTGCGAGATGCCACCAAGAAGACAGGCCATTCCCGACGCGCGTGGTCGCTTGTCCCCGATGAGGGGGATATTTGCTTCCGATAACACCTAGGCATCCATCGCAGGAATCTTCGATATACAGCGTTTACCCGCTTGATCTTGTTCCAGCAGTTCAGTCGTTGACTCTCCCCTTATCTGTTCGTACCCTGTAACCTCCTCCGCTTTGATGAGCGCCCAAATGGCGATGCAGGCTCTCCACTGTTCTCGGTCGCGCACACGTACCACGAAAAGATGTTCTGTTAGCGAAGTAGAAGACCACACCAGTGTCGCGGGCAGCTGAGTCATGATTTCTTACAGTCTGGTACGTTCGCGCAAAGTCCCAAACACGGCCTAGTGAGCCCGGAATGGTTCCATGCTGCCCAGGTGGTGAGTCGCTCCAGTCGTGACTCCCTCACCCAAACCATGGAAAGAACGACCACTCTACCTGTTGAGACTGAAGCTGCGCGTCACACCAAGATCACCAGGCGCGATGTGAAAGCAGCCTGAAACCCATAAATAGCCGACTTTGGTGCCCACAGCACCACCTCGCGCACGCGCCCGGCATCATTGCGCATCGCACCACGCAAGTCAACCTTTGAAGAATCTACTTCAGCTACACGACTATGGACGCTGGTTGGGACGAATTGGAGCGCATGGCGCATGCAGCATCAGCCTCTGACGCGCAGATTGCTTCCCAATACCCGACATCGGAAACTATCGAGCGCTGGATGCGACTCTTTGGATATTCCCGAATCGAAGCTGTCCGTCTGATCAGTGATCAACGCGGTGATGGTCAGTGACACCGCCTGGTCCTGGTTATCAAATGTGGAACTGTCATGTACTGATGCATTTCTACAGTCACCCGGGAGCGAATTACCAACGATCATTGGGAACTTGTCCAGACCGAAAAAGAAGCTATAGGCTACGATCGCGAGGCTTATGAGCATAATCTTTCCCTCCTCAAAGTCTTCAAGAGCCAGAGCGCCTTCATACCAACCTCTGGTGCTGATGGGGAAATGATGCTTCTTTTCAGATTGGGAGGACTGTTGAACACTGCAGAGAAAGTGAAAGAGGTTGCCGACCTGGACCGTGTACCCGTCGAGCAAGAGGGAATGAGTGAGATGGGTACCATCAAGTTTTGTCTGGTGGACAAAGACGCACAGAAGAAACTTGAGGAATGGCTCACGCAGCAGTCCGTCCTCCAGCGATAGCTGCACCTCTGACGGGATTATGCGAGGGAGAACCAGTGCTATGCAATATTGCAATCATCTCAGCATGACGCTGGGAAAAGTTGTACCATGCGCTCATGGACAGGTCGCTGAATGCAACACAATCAAATCCATCTAAGACCGGCTGCGGCTTGAACAGCCACCCTGTTTGAAAAAGAGAATCTCAATAATTACCTCCCACACTGGACACCAAAAATTACGTCAGGGTCGCCATTATCTTAGAATTCTGGCAACTTCGTTTTCCGTGCTAATGTAGACTGCAGCGCACCTGTTCAATTACCTTCGTGTTCGAGGTGCAGCGACCCGCTAGTTCTCACATAAGAATAAAGCAGATCCAAGGAAATGCAGCGACTGATGGGCTGATGATCTTTCCGATCTTGTGCTGCACTTGCCGGAAGGGGCGTAAAGCCATCTTACCGATGGACAGCCCAGCTCGAGCATGAAGTCCTCAAATGAACAGCGACATGCAACGTAAACATACCGACGGCAACCAATTCCCAGAATAGCGACATCATCACTAAGCACAGTCTGTGGGCAACTCGGCGAATCAGGATCAGCTCAGCCACGACCACGATACCGCTTACGGTCAACCGCAGCCACAAGCGGCACGTCATCAGCAGTGCAGTTCAGCTGTGCTGATACATTACGGCGCGATCGGCGGAACTATCAATCGACTAATGTTTGGAGCTGGAGGAGCTGAGGCTGCTGATGTAACAACACGGAGATCACCACGAAGATCTCGGTACAAATTGGGAAACCCCCATGTCCAACTTGAAAGCCACCCCAACTATCTACATGACTTCCGACATGTTGTAAAAGGGACACACGAAATTCTTTGTTGCGTTCAACAAATATCCAATGACTGCGCATACATACTATGCCTCAACGCCCCTCGCAGGAGCAAGACCTACAACACTTGCTACCATCGACCATGACTTCTTCCAAGTTCTCTTATAATAGGCCAATACCTGCGATCACACTTCAATTGGCTACCGACGATCTTAGCGCACAGTACAGTCAACCGCTACCTCATGGCGATTTTGAGGAGCTCAAAGAAGCGGCAAACGAAGACAGGGTACGCCCCCAACAAAGAAGTCCTGCAAGCGAGCACCAGTGATACTAATATACACACCAGGACCTCAAGATACGTATCCGGAAGTTACGCGTTATATCGCGCTCCCTCGCCCTCTTCATCTCTATCGCAGTTCTCGTCCTCACGGCTCTTACCCTACACAAGTTTCTCAGCACGCGCAACATTCACCGCGTTGTCCGACTACCCAGTGGCGAGAATATCTTACGCACGCCCTGGGCGAAGAATACACGGGCATGGCCAACATACATGTACTTTGGCGTCTCGGCCGTCTCTGTACTACTCAACTTCGCAACGATCTTTTCGTACAAGTGTGGTATTGAACAGGCCAACGTAGCCGCTGTTGTCACGAGTACCTTTAGCTGGGTCAATATGCTGGGGAACTTCATTGTATGGTGTGTAGCCGCTACTGTGTATCGCACCGAGAAGGATAAAAATGGGAAGAGCGATGACCTTTGGGGCTGGACGTGTAGTTCTGGTGCGAGAGCAATTCAAAAAGAGTTCGTGGGTGACATTGACTTTGGTAATTATTGTAATGTGCAGGTAAGTGGATGATTTTTAGGGGTTTGAAAAGAGGGCTTGCTAACGCAGTGTGCAGAGTGCGAGTTGGTATGTTGGTATTGTGCAGGCCTGCGCTGCATTACTGACCGTGGTAATTTTCGTGCTGGTTTTCAGGAGGAGGAAGACGAAGAAGGCGGTGGAGCAGAGGCTGAAAATGCATGGCCTCGAGCCGAGTAGATGTTGACCGGGAAGACCTCCGCCGCACAGGAGGCGAACACATAATAACAACCGGTCTATCGCCAGGTACCAGCCTTGTGTACCGTTCAATACCCACCACGGGGGTCTAGGATATGATCCCGTCGCCCCAAACAACCGCACCCAGCCATCCTCGGCCCCAAACCCGTCTCCTAACTTCTGCGCATCATGGTGTATTCATACCCACCTCATCCACATCTCCCACAGTCCACGCTAGTCTCTATCACGTTGAGATAGCGTACCTGCATGCACCGACCTCGCAAACCACTCACTGAAGTCCCTGCTTACCAAAATAAGCGGGACCCTTTTCCGAGAACGGACAACAACATGCATGCGCAACGGTTACCACCCAAGGAACGAAAAGCCCCAAAGGTACTAAGACAGGTCGTAAATAACGCTTGAGACGCATGCGAGTATCGCAGATCCCACGAGGAAGTTCTGGATAAGAAAGGAGGAGGGTGGGAGCATGGGGCAACGACGCGCGAGAGGGCATGTTTTAAGATCGGAGGGGAACCCGCTGTAACTGGTATCCAGAAACAAAGTACATAATACATTTGTTTACTACGACTGTTACTGAAGTGCAGTGATGCGAAACATGCTGGTATGTTCGAGAAGAACCGAAGAGGCGTAGGGAAGACATTCACCAAAGACTGACGAAATGACCAGTGCACTCGGTCGTTGCCAACCTGGCTATGCGCCACCATCTTTCTCCTTACTGCTGTCGCTTCTTCCCAGGAAACGCAAGACGAGTGTGATCGAGAATGCTTGCTTCTCAGGGTTGAGACGCTTGAACGAGAGTATGCGAAGATAGAGCAAGCTCTGGTGAGTCAAGGCCAATCTCCTCTTGCGGTATCGATCATGCTGACCACGAAATAGTTTCCCGGTGGCGACTCTTATTCTTCGTATGCAGCTCAGCCGTACTTAACAACATCTGCCGTCTCCACCGCAACTCCAAGCTCGTCGAGCAAATACTACACCACCTTTGGCACATCCGGTCTGCCTTACAGCTCAGCCTACAGCTTCGTTGTCTCCTCATCATCCGCTCTAACATCTATCATCTCCACCGCAACGCCGAGCTCATCGAGCGAATACTATGCTAGCTTTAGCACATCCGGTGTGCCTCAAAGTTCAGCATACAGCTACGTCGTTTCCTCATCGTCCATCCTAACGTCTGCCGTCCCCACCACAGTGCCGAGCTCATCAAGCGAATACTATGCTAGCTTTAGCACATCCGGCTTTCCTCAAAGCTCTGCCTCCACCTGGGTTGTGCCCTCCTCGTCCATAGTCACCAGCTATGTGACTACGCAACCTTCAGTCTCAGCTACGCCTTCATACGCAACGACTCCACCCCAAAGTTCAGCCTCTACCTTTGTTGTTCCCTCCTCATATCTGGTCACCAGCTATGTGGCCACGCAACCCTCAGTATCAGCCACGCCTTCCTACGCCATACCCCCACCTGAGCCCACATCAAGCGACACACCACCCGAACCCACCAACCCCAACATCCCCACCCATCCCGGCTACCGCTCAGTAGCCTACTACGGAAACTGGGACATCTACGCACGCAACTTCCAGCCCCAGCAAATACCCGCAGAGCAACTCACCCACCTCCTCTACTCCTTCGCCGACAACAAGCCCGACGGTACCGTCTTCCTCACCGACACATACGCCGACGCAGAAAAGCACTACCCGACTGATTCCTGGAACGACGTGGGCAGCAATCTTTACGGATCGTTGAAGCAACTTCAAATCCTCAAGGCCAAGAACAGGAACTTGAAGGTGTTGCTCAGTGTAGGTGGTTGGACGTATACAAACGTTGCCAAGCACATGGATGGACCCATGGCTACGGCTGCGGGTAGGCAACGCTTTGCGTCTTCGTGTGTGGAGTTGATTCGCGACTACGGCTTCGATGGCATTGATGTGGATTGGGAGTATCCCACCAACAAGGAGCAAGGCGGGCAGTTGCTCGCACTGTTGAAGGAGATCAGAAGTCAGATGGATGAGTATGCCGATACGCTTGTGTACGAAGATGAGTCTGGACGCAAGCTGAAGCCCAAGTTCCTCTTGACTATTGCTTCGCCGGCAGGAGAGAAGAACTACAAGCATCTGCCATTGAAAGAGATCAGTGCGGTTACAGACTTTATCAATCTGATGGTAAGTATTGGCTTCTCCAAATGCAGCAACAAATAAACTAACGCAAACATAGGCATACGACTACGCCGGCTCCTGGGATAACCAGACTGGCCATCAATCGAACCTTTACCCTTCGACCTCGACTCCCCTGAGCACGCCCTTCAATACAGCTTCCGTTCTGGCCGCCTACAGCGCCGCGGGCGTTCCTTCCTCCAAGCTCAATCTTGGCATGCCGCTCTACGGTCGCTCCTTCACCAACACTCAGGGTCTAGGAACGTCGTTTAGTGGCATCGGCACCGGATCGTTTGAGCGAGGCGTCTACGACTTCAAGGACTTGCCCCTTGCAGGTGCACAGGAGTACTACGATGAAGAGGCTGGCGCAACGTACAGCTACGACGAAGCGAGTGGCGAGTTCGTCAGCTATGATACTGTGGCCATGGCGCTCAAGAAGGTCGACTACATTGCAGAACAAGGGTTGGGTGGCGCAATGTGGTGGGAGATCAGCGGTGACAGGACAGATGACAGCGGGAGCATCGTGACAAACGTGAGTCGTGGGTGTCTGAGAGTGGAGACGAGTATGCTAACGTATAAAGGTTGTCGAGAAGATGGGCGGCGGGAGTGGTGCAGGCATCGAGTCATCGCCCAATTGGCTACTGTATCCCGACTCCAAGTTCGACAACTTGAGGAATGGCGTGTCGACGACACCATAGGTCGCGGGGCGATTGCGCAGGGGGTGAGTCGTGGATGCAGGTGCAGCTGTTGGCGAGCATGTCAGGTGGTGGTGCAAACCTAGAATCGCGTAAGTTATTACTGATCGCCATCGGTAAACGTTGAGATGGAGCATTGGTGGCGCGAGCATTCATGCGTTCGCATACATGTAGTAATAAAACTTGTCATATACCCTACCCTTGACATATCTCGCTTATTGCCAAGCTGGAACATCATCTAGGGGACTGGACCCGCGTGACACAGTTGCAGCAGTGTTTGAGGCTCTGCTACCCTAGGTGTAGGCGGTAGCGCGGAAGCCATGCTGCTTCTGGCGTAGATCATCTTCGATATATTGCCAGTGTTGATATTCTACGCCGCCGTCATACTGCGATCGACGGCCAGGGTGCTGGAAGAAGAAAAACGAGTACACGATCACGAGCACGGCGGGGGTGCTGTTGGTGATTGTCGTTGAATTTGCGTGGTGTCTGAGCGCATGAGGGCTAGGATATGCCCGCCGCGCGCATATGTGCCGCCTGCCGAATGATACATACAGAACCGAACGCCCTAGCTCCATTCATGCCGCGAAGTAATAACAGTCGTACGATATAGCACCAAAATGTGCTGGAGGGTATAGCAAATCTATCAGGCACCACAATGTGCTCATTTTACTGCCTCCTGATCTCATCAGGCGAGCAGGTGTCGGCGGGCGGGAGTAAGCGCTGGTAGGACTGCTCGCCGACTATAGTCGACTCCCTGTGATTAAGGAAGGTGCGTATGCGCTCGTCGCGATCTCCACTTGAGCTCAGAGTGGCATTCCGGCTCCGGCTGTACTCCATACTCGCCTCGCGGTGGATCTGGTCGCGCCGCTCTATGACCGAGTTGTTGAAGGTGTTGAATCTAGTGCCCTGCACGACGCCGCCTATGCTGACAAAGGCGAAGATAAGGGCCATGAAGGTAAAGTTGGACATCTGAATCGTGCGGGCGTCCGAGTCCTTGGCGCCGCCGCCGTTCTCGTAGTGCCAGCGCTCCCAGTCCTCCCAGGTCGCATTGGTACGCGGATCCGTATTCCAGCGATGTGGATCATAGTGCCAGTCGTTATGACGGGGGCCCATGGGCATCTGGTGGTGACCGGCCCAGCCGTGGCCCCAGGCATCATACGCTTTGCGTTTCTGGACATCGGAGAGGATGTCGTGGGCGGCGACTAGCATTCGATAGCGCTCGAGACGCACGTGGAGGGGCAGCTGGGCGATGGCCGACTCGGCATGGCAGCGGTCGGGGTGGTAGAGCTTGACGAGGGCATAGAAGCGGTGCTTGGTATAGGCGTCGCCCTTCCGGCACTTGAGGATCTGGTAGGGCGTGGGTGTCTTGTGCGGCTTCACGGCGTCTGGCCACCTGAGCAGCTCTGCGTCATCGCGGTAGGCGGGCGCGTCCTGGTGTTGGGCGTAGGAGCGGCGCTGTGTTGCGGCCTCAGGACGTGCGAATCTATGACGGCATGACTTGCCCGGCTGGGGACCTGCGCAGCTCCCAGCGTGGGAATAGTAGAGGGGACTGAGGTTAGTGTACGAGGGCAGGAGGATGGAGCACTTCTTGGGCAGCATTGTCGCGCACTGGCAGGCGTGGACGGGCGCGCATCTCCCAGCTCCAGGCAGGTGTCAGTGTGGGAGACGGCGTGCTGCGTGTGGGGTGCTGGCTGCTGGTGGCGTCGGCGCATGGGCGATCGCAGCAGCCCGCGGGCGAGATAGACGCGGCCGGCGCCATCGCTCACTCATCGGTACCTCACGCTAGGCCGCTTGCGTGCTGCATGCGACACTCTGGATGCGAACAGGAGTTGGCCGTGGTTGATAATTTTTCCACGGCCTCGCGCGCCCTCCAGTCGTGCCCGACGCGACTGCGACGGCGCCGGCGTCTCAGCCAGGCAGCCACCATGCAGGTGCGGTCTCTTCCGCTCCCCTCCAGTTGCTCAGACCCGATGCTGGTGGAGCCCTTTGCGCCGCGACTCAGCCTGTCTGTTTGACGTGAACTCCTTCGCCTCGCTTGCGCATGCCGTGCGAACCTCCCCCTGCAGCGACACAAACTCTCGGGTCACGACGCATGAAGTCGACCCTGCATCCAGCCAGCCGCCCAATGTCTTTGTCCTCCAGGGTGGGCTAACTGTGGGGTCTAGAGGGGGCATCCTTCTGCTATAACCCGTTTGCTATCACGCCTCTCGTGCTCTTCCTCCCTCAGCTCCCTCCAGCCTTTGCTTCGTACAGTCCTTTCCGTCATTCACTTGCCTATATATCGCCCTACCTTCCATGTTGACCGCCTCCCGCCCCCTTCTCCCCACCTACAGCGCCCTGCACCAAGCCATGGCAAACACACACGACAGCAACGGCCACCCCAGGGAAGGCTACCTGAACCTGACCCGGCGCATGGAGACTGAAGAGGAAGACCAATTTGACGTCGATCTCACCATCTTAGATTTCCTTGTCTACAAGGCCATTGACTTGGTCTTTGAGTGGAAATCAAGCAGTGATCCATACCATTCAGATCTGCCCAATGCGCTCGTCAACATGACTGCTGGTATGACTTGCGCCTGTTACGGCAATGCATCACGTGCTCACGATTATCAGATTGGAGGACATTCCTCGGGCACAGACACCATGGCCGACGCCTAGATGCCAAGGCGTCATTTCGATCCCGTTTGTTGCAGTTTGCCCTGATCTTCACACATCGGCTGCATCACGACGAGACCTGGACAACCGAAGAGTCACTGAACAGTCTGCGCGAGCAGAACAAATCCCGTGGCGAGTACTGGCGGCAACGAACTCAGCATCCTTCTGCGCTCCAGGACCCTTTCGACCAGCAGAAGGACTTTCCTCTTTCCGACGGCGCTCTTTACGAAAACCGCTCTGCTCTTGCCTCCGCACTGAGAATGCCTGTCGATCAGCGGAGGTGGGTGACCGATGTAGCAGGCACGCCCTCGCTCCACTGTTTACTCCCTGTCTTCATCGAGCTTACTGCCGCACGTGTCAATCTGGATGACGACTGGCTGCCAACGGCTGAGTGGTTCGACTTGGCAGCACAATTCATGCTCCAGGCTATCATCGGCGAATATCTTCGTAATGGTGCTTACGGTGACGAAGCTTTCAACACCATCTTCGCCTATGGCTGCCCTGGCGTCGAACGATGGGCCGAAGAACCAGCGGACGTGGCAGCCATGAGGAGACTCTTCTGTGCTGAAGGCAATCTTCGCGAAGAGAACTGCGAGTGGACCAGGATCAAGCGCCAATACATCAACGAACTACTACCCAACGGTCGGGCGCAATCAAGTCTACAGGCGATAGAAGCAGCCCAGGAACGCTATCCATATGCCGAATTCGAAGAGAAGCTACTATCCTTTCTCAAATATCTCCACGAAGGCCTCGTCAAACCAGATCTCGCCCAAGTCGAAGAAGGTCGCATCAATATCGACGGCAACGAACTATCTGAAGCCGAATCACGAGCCATGATCCAGCGCATGGGGCTTTGATCGACTCTGCGTCCCCAATTTCTTTAATCTCGGGCGAGCTCGGAGGAGTTTCTTCGGCGGTCTGAGTACGTGTTTTTCGGTTGTCTAATCTTGTCTTTCTGTACTAGCGTAGGCCGTTCTTGTTTATACGTTTTTTCTCCAGTTTGCGAGCTATTCTTTTTTATTATTGTTATCATCTGTACCAAAAGTCATGTAGCTTCGCGCGTCTTGTACCATATACCCACATCAGCTAGTTAGGTCGCCGACACAGGCTTGTAGTCGGTGCAATCACACATATTTCAACATCTCGATGACTACTCTTTTCTCCCGCTACTCCCCATAAAAACTCCCCTTCGAACCCACTGCCACATCCCTAGTGTCCCTCCTCAATCCATCGCTCCGAGCACGTCTTGTCATGGCCACATTCTGTAGGTAAGTGTCGTGGACCATCTTGTAGTCCTTTCTCTACCTCTTACAACACAGACGTCATCTTTACTCTCCGGCATGAGAATAATGCCACCAATCGCATCAGCGCGTATCGCATCTCCCTACAAATCTCAAATTGATTGAATAGTGGAGTATACGGACCCACGACATGCGCACGCCAGCAGCCGTCCGGGCGACGCTTATACCCGACACTAGTCACACAGACACGCTAACACATGTGGAAATTTTGTTATCATTGTAATGGTGTGATTCAGAAGATCAAACACTCTTGATTTGATTTGGGAGAGAAATAGCCTATCCTTCAACCTACTCTTACATTTCATCAAACGTTGCGGTGCCCGCCCTAAAAGGCGGAGGTATATGTACAAGGAAAAAACACAAACAGTAGCTGGTAGATCAAACAGCAGAGTAAACGGCAGTGCATCCTCGTCCACATTCCACTTTTTGCTCGAATTCGACTGTGCGGCCATTGACCTTGACCTTGTTCCGTGGTGTGATTTGGAAACGATGCATCTCTTTTTCTCTTAGTTGTTTCCCAAAACCGCCCGCAGATGCTGCTCGCTCTTGCTCAGCGGCCTGGTCAAGTGGTTGGATGTATGTTGGTGTAGCTAAGTTGCTCCGCTTGCCACTACCAATCTGGTAGTATTCGTTGTTACCCCAGAATAAAATGTCGCGACCCCAGTTTGTGTCGTTGTCTGTGAGCTTCTTCGACCGACCGGTCACAGCGACGCTGGCAACGTTGTCGAGGATGGCGGCGGCATGGGTTGAGCCGACTGAGATGTTCAATAGACGTATCGGAATTGCAGTGTTCTTGGCTTCGTCCCACTCGAAAAGACCGGAGAAGGCGGGAACCTTGACGGGATCGGCTTGCGTGTGCACCCATCGACCAACACCAAGTTGACCTGTGAGACCGAATCCAAAAGCCCATGTGTCTGCAGTAGTCTTGTTGCCTTTGGTCGCTTCGACAGCAAGGAAAGATGTATTCCCGCCCGCGAAGACGTTTGTCACCTTGCCTAGCGAGCCAGAGTATAGCTTTTGTGTTGGGAGTAGAGATGGCGCATCTACGCTTTGCGCTTCAGCGTTGTACGGGAAACCAAGTTGACCGGAAGTGTTGTCGCCAAAAGTAAAAGCTCGTCCTTCGGAATCGCAAACTAAGCTATGGTAGTCACCAGTAGCGATCCTCTTGACGGGGAATCCTTTGAGGGTAGTGACCTCGTGGGGAATGTCGAACGCGCCAGTGGGACGGCTCTCGAATGATAGACCCGGTATACCTAGCTGACCTTTGCTAGGGAAGTCTTGTGAGCCTGATGCGAAAGAGAAGACGCGGCCAGAGGAGGTGAGCATGAGCGCGTGCTCTAGCCCGGATGAGATGTCCGTGACGCGCTCGCTCCATCCCAGGTTCTCAGGTGTACGGTTGCGATATGAGATGTTGTTGGAGCCACCCCAAAAAGGGATCCAGGATGTAGATGGCGGCTTTGGGCCTTCCTTCTGCTCCGCCTGTGAAACGGGTATCGAGTATACGGAGCCGCTCTTGGAAAGGCCAATGATGCGATCGCGGGAGATGGCGAGGGAGGTCAGGTTATGGCCCGTCAGAGTCTTGGTAGGCTCCTTGACGTCGTTTGCGAAGGCGGTGCCCCATTGTAGAAGATCGCCCTTCTCGTCAATGGCCGCGCCGAAGTTTCTGTCGAGCTTGATGTCCCGCAACAACTTTCCGTCGAAGAAGGTCAAGCGTCTCGGTGTCTTGATGTACTTTTCGTCAGAGTCGGGTGCCACGACCTTGCCCGAGTTAGAGCCCCATGTGTAAACTCCAGGGTTCTCCCAGCTCTTGATGACTTGAAGATGCTGCGAGCTGATGATATTTCTATTGTCGTCGACCGATTTTGCTTGCCGCCGTGGCGCTTCGAACTTCAGCTCTGGTTCCTCTTGTTCCTCCGCGTGCGCATCTCGTATGATCGAGTCCCCGTTGCACCATTGATATGCCGTGGCGGTAGCCCAGAGCGCGCCAACGGTGGCTATGGATCGGACGAAGTGTTGCTGTCGTCGTTGTGCATAGGGGTGGGATGCGGTCCGGACGTGTGATTGCGGGGGTCTGGTCGCTATGTTCCTACATACTCGCGGGGCATGCGGCGTTCGGAGGGTCGCGCGTGCTACACACTTTGTGCTGAGCATAGTGTGGTAGATGGGGTGGTGGGCTCGAAGTAGCAGGTGTCGTCCCGTGGGCGTCTGGATAGATCAAGAGAGCAACATTTGCAGCACGATCGAAGGTCCGATTACGGTTGGAGCATTGGTAATTGGACAGTTTGGATAGTTTCTCTAGATCGTAGCTGCGTGATCAATGACGCTCTAGACTTGCTCCACACTGACAGATGGTGCTAGCGCTAATTGGGCCTAGCACCACATGCTGGACCCCCACGAGCATCACCGAGCTCCGACATGTGGAAGCTGGCGTCGTGGTTCCTGTCTACACACAACAAACCCACCAGCCCCCGAATTGCGCCAGAATGTACGAGGCAGACTCGTGGTACACTGCCTTTGTGCCGCGCACCGCCAAGCCCCAGGAGAAGGGCAAGCACCGCCGCAGAGAGAGCCTGCTTAAACAGGAGAACGTAAGCCCACCATCCGCTGCCTGGGTACGTTTGAGCACTTCTGATGATTGTACTTGCAGGAGAGTCAGGCTGACTTCGAGCGCGCAGAGGCCATCGCAGAAACAGCAGAAGACGATCGACCCGGCAAGCTCAATGGCCCTCCACCGGCCACCGTGGCCAGACGCGCCAAGTCGTACAGCGACTTCTACACCGTCGTGCGGGCACATCTGAAGAAGGAAAGGGCACTCGAGAAGAAGAAGTCACGTGAGGACATCAGCACCGAGCTGGAGTTTGCCGACTGGTATGGCGGCGTCAGCGATGAGCTGCTCGAAGCCAGCCACGAGGAGTACAGGCTCTACCAAAACCAACTACACATAACGCGAAACCACCTCGAGAACATCATCTCTGACACAACATCGACCCTCGATATTCTCTCCTCCCTCTCCGAATCCTTCAAGATCGTCGAAGCCCAGACGGACGCCTTCCGCACACAATGCGAGGGCCTCATCGACGACCAGAAGCGCATTACGAAGCTCGCAGACGATATGGAGCAAAACCTACGATACTATCTCTACCTCGAACCTACCACCAAACGGCTCAATGCTCCGGGAGCAGGCAAGATTGTGCGGGGTAAAGAATTCGTCGAGATGCTGGCCAACCTGGACAGCTGCCTCGAATACATGCAGGCGCATTCCAAGCACCGCGAAGCCGAAACGTACCGATCCAGATACCGACTGCTCCTTACCCGTGCCCTCACCCTCATCCGCGTCCACTTCACCGAAGCGCTTCGCGAAATCGCAGCCGATGTGTCGAAGCGGATAGCGGACAGACAACTGAACGACACCACCATGTCTGCGCTGTTGTATGCCAAATTCCGCGTCGGCGCGCCGGAGCTGAAGAGCATAGGCATCGAGATACAAAAGCGGGCAGTACTGCCAGCTGGAGCAGCGCCAGGTGGAGAAGCCGAATACCAGAGTTTGATGAACGAGCTGTATCAGAGCTACTCAGCCACCCGTGGCCGACTCATACTTCCCATCGTTACGAAAAAGATCGGAGAGATCGCACAAGCTCCGAGCACATCGACGGATCTCGTAGCTTTCGCGCGGAGCAGCATAAGCTATATTCGTGGTATATGTTTCGACGAGTGCGACTTATGGCGAGAGTGGTTTGAGGGCGACGGCGGATTGTACGACTTCCTCGAAGCTGTATGCGAGCCTCTATACGACCACCTGCGACCGCGCACCATCCACGAGACACAGATACTCAAGCTTTGCGAACTCTGCACACTGATACAGACACGGTACATGGAGGAAGAAGAGGAGGAGTCGCCGGTTGAGGCGAACAAGCTGGACTTTTCTGTCATTGTACATCCCGCACTGCAAGATGCACAAAACAGATTGGTTTTCCTGTCGCTTGCGATCCTGCGAGACGACATTGAGAGATACAAGCCTAAACCAGAAGACCTCGACTACCCTGCAAAGAACAAGAAGCACGCCACTTCCGGGACCAAGTCAAATCAACCCGTTTTGTCTGGCAAGAAGCAGCCAAAGTCCGAAGTCCCACCCACCCCTTTGATGCCGAAGACGCCCACAATAGTCGAAGACGACGATCCAGATGCGCGGTGGAACTTCAATACCGAAGCGGCCTTCAAAGACTGGTACCCTACATTGCGCAAAGCGATCTGGTTGCTCAGCAAAATCTACAGGCTTGTTCACGTAAGTCCTTCAACGCTCGCATGTCCTTCCTCATGCTAATGTGCTCCTAGTCCTCTGTATTCGATGACCTGGCTCATCACATCGTCCACAGCACCACGCTTTCTCTCGCGCAAGCTAGCACTTTGCTTGCTAAATCCGCCTCACCCACCGATGCCGCCCTCTTCCTCGTATCGCACCTCCTTCTCCTCAAACAACAAATCGTAGCTTTCGACATTGAGTTCGTCACGCCGGAGACCGAAGTCCAATACAATTTTGCGAGCCTCACGAATACTTTCTGGGAGCTGCGTGCTCGGGGCGGCCTCTTCAACCCGCGTAATCTCGTCGGTCTTTTGATACCCAAAGTCGTAGAGAATATGTTGGATGCCAAAGCCGAAGTGGATGCACGCCTGCGCCAAGCGATTAATGACTTTACTGGTCAATTCGTCGCCAGAATGACGGCACCGATCGATACCAAGGGCAACAAAAAGGTGCCTGTGAGTGAAGCTCCTGCGCGTACGAGCAAGATCCGGCAGAACATTGAGCATGAGACGCCGTTCCTGAGATCGAAGCTTGAAGAATACATCACCGACGCTCGTACACGCGAAATGCTTGTAGCAGCTGTCATGGAATCTGTCACCCAAGCATACGAAGACTGGTACGACTCGTCATACTCGCCATCTCTTTCCAACCAAAACGGGGCGAACAGAAGCACGAAGGGTAAGGGAAGGGAAGATGGCGTCTGGGATCCGGACGTGTTTAATGAGTGGTGCGGCAACACTTTCAAAGTTGGCACGCTAGGACTGGGCAGCATGGATGATGAACAAGAGGATTATCAAGATGATGATAGCGACGCAGACAGTATGGGTGCCACCAGCGGGAGATCAGGCACAGAAAGGACAGGAAACACGGGTCTGAGGATCAAGATGTGATAGCTCCCTGTAAGCCGGATGAAGTATGGAAATATTTATCATGCTGGTCTATGGTCGAAGCACCATCACCATGCTATCGGACAGAAATCTACCGTGATTTCCCTCTCACAGTCACTTTCCGTAAACACAGGCATCTTCTCTTCTTCCATCTTCTCAACAATATTCACTTCCGTGTCTGCATCGCTCTCCGACTCTAGCTCTTCCCTCTTCCACGTATTCCGCTTCTTCTGCCTCGCTTTCTGCCGGCGTAGTGCATTCTTCTCGCGGCGTTCAATCACATCGCTTTCTTCGCCTTCCTACTAAAATTGATCAGCATCATCATTACTGTCATGGCAGTAGTCAAATCAAAGCAAGAACTTACCGAGCTAGTTTCACCAGAATCCGTTGTCGATGCGCGGAGCGAGTCGTAGATCGAGGTCGTACTCGATACGGAAAGCTGCTTGATTGGCGGGTATTTGGCTTCGTCGTCGGTGTCACTGGCTATTTCTGTTGCGATGTCGGAGGTAGTGGTTGAAGATGAACGCGAAGAGGAATGGGCGGATGAGTCTTCGTCTTCGCTCGGATCTCGTCTTGCCCTTTCTCTTCCCTTTCGCTCTTGCGCGAGTCTCTTCCTCGTCTGTTCATTCAGTTCCTGCTGTTTTCTCGGTAACACGTCGTCGTATCTCTTTGCTCCTAGCTTCGCGACTTTGAACACTTGTCTCTCTTCTCCTCGCTTTTGTCTGTTCGGTGACTCTCGCTCCTCAGAATCCACACTGCTGCTACTGCCGAGCCTGTCGTGTGCCCTTGCAAGAGTTCCACCAAGCTGCTTCTCAAAGTTCTCTGCGACGTCGAGGACGGACTTCATCGATGCTTGTGCGGCGTTGTATGCTTTGCCCGAAAGACCAGAAACAGATAGTTGGAAGGCCATGTATGGGCGTAGTAGGTGAAGAGGCGAGTTGATGGAGCGCGTTTTGGTGTGTGCGTAGGTCTCGATATCACTATCTGACTCACTATCAGACCGGGTACTACTCGCTTCTTTCCTGTAAGGCAAAGTCTTGGAGCGCGTGAGACGAGTGACGGAAGCAGGCGGAGAGGGCTTGTGTTTCTTCGCCACAGAAGTCTTTGGTGTGGCTTCTCCAGCCCGTCTCTTCGGAGATATCTTTCTGTCGTTTGTCTCTGTTGTATCTTCGTCTTCTTGCTTGATCTTCACGGTGCTGTCTTCTCTGCCAATATGGCGCAAGTAACCTCTCTTATCCTTATAATCTTCGACGGATGTTGTTGATGCACGGAGTGACTCTACTGTAGACCCGCGTCCCGAAGTCACTCTGGTGATGGTGTTGCGAGAAAGGAGTCTGGGCCGCGCTTTGCAGGCTCGGGTTCGTGCCATGATGGGACTTTGAGTGATCTATCGAGAAAACTTGGGGGTTGTTCAGATAAGTAGAAACGTGTTTTGCTTATAGTATTACATCTGAGCAAATGGCATCGACCAAGTGAGGTAATGAGCCCTGAATGTGAGCTTTAAAGCAATTGTTTGTCCAATTTGCAAATGTGCAACGCGGAACGAACGTCAAAGAAATGACGGGCACAACTCAACGACAATTTGAACATTCCCTTTTACCAAACTTTTGGTCTCAAATGTCATGTCTAGGTCAAGAATTCTACAAGAATGCATCGTCACTGATCCGAAACGGAAGAGTAATGAATGGTAATGCGATAGAAGTATAATTACTGTAGTAGTGTAGAATGCGCAGGGCATGTATAAAAGACTGAAACCCAAACACCAATGCCATGCAGAAAAGTAAGTCAAGTATGTAATGCGAAAACATCAACCGTGCAGAAAGGGACCTAGCATGAAATGCAATCGCCACGCTGGCCATGCCACATGCAGCGGGTTCCACCAAGTGCTCACAAAGGCACAATCGAGCCACCCTGAGAAGCAAGCGGGTCAACGGAAGGTTGTTTGGTAACGGTGTTGACTGCATTCTCTTTGTACTTTGCAAGCGTCTTGTCAGAGTTGAAGTTCTGGTTGATAACACCGCTCATGCCTTTCTGGCAGTGGTTCCCGTTGGTCTGCGAGCAGTAGTACCAGATAGGGTTCGTGTCCTGCACCGTAAAGGTGAAGACGTTTGGTGCTTCACCCGCAGTGGTGTTGAAGTTGAAGCCAGAGAAGATGGAGCTGTCGCCGCCGAGAGGCTCGCATGGCTTGTCGAACGAGGACTGCACGAAAGTGTGCGCCTTGGGGAGGAAGTGGAACTCCATGAGATCGCCAGGTTCTGCGACTACGTTTTCGGGCTCGAAATGTAGGCCGCCGTTAGCGGTTGTGGATCCGGCGAAGACGCGGTGGACTACTCCGGTAGGTCGGACTGGGTGTGCTGGCACGGCGACGGTGAGGCCGACGATGGCAGCGGCTGTCAAGGCGAGAGATGTGAAGGCAACCATGTTGACTGATGATTCTAGTTGTTGATGTTGTAGGAATGGTGACCTGGCAAGGAAGCGACTAAGACGATGATGACTGGGAAGCAGAGACGAGCTATGAAATGCTTTCGATGATAATAGGACTGTGGATGCTGTGAAGAGAGTATTTTGATGTGGAAGATGTGATGTAGCTGTAGTGATGAAGATGCTGTGAAGGAGATGGTGTATTGATGATGAGATGAACTTGACAGACAAGAGTTTCTCTAGATATATACTCGTCTGGCGAGAGTGCTCACAAATCAAAGGTTGCTGATGTTCTACACATAGCCCTCGGTTGGAGAAATTGCCGTTTGATGGTAAGCTGTATCTTTCGTCAGTGCAGTGTCGCATCAGGCCCTTCACACGACCAGAATGCGGAGAATAGTATGACAGGATGCCTAAGATAGACAGGTCACAACTCGCAAAGGCCATCTCGGATAGAAAACGTTCCAGCGTTTGCTAAACACAGCTCCAATAAGCGTCCGGCAGCCCTGCCACTGCGGCTGAAATAGCTGACCCAGGGCGTGGCTTAGCCCCAACGCGAGAAACAACGGACAGCGCAATCGTCAGCAATTTACTGCTAGGCCTCGACTAAGTCCATTGTAGAGGATATTCCGGGCGTAATCACAACATTCGCTGCAGCTCGTAGTGTTGGTTGATGCTCATTGAACATGTTCCGCATGCGCCTTTGCGATGGTGACCCACGTGTCGACGCCTAGCAGGAATGGACGATGGAAACACCACACAGGTCCAACAGCTGAGTACTGTGCCACAGTATGACATTCCTCCCGTCCTCTAGATGGTCTTGGTCTTGTTTGTAATTGTTGGCTATTTTCGGTTTTAAGTGAGCGCTTATAGATCTGGAAGGGGCCGCCCATTCGAAAACCAAGTAGGTACATGCCGAGACGCCTCTTCGCCGCTCAAGACCTCATTCCAGGACCTGAAACAGTGTCGCTTGCGCGTTATTATTTCCAGCGCGTATTACGCGATGCCCCAAGGTTCGGGGCTGGTGATGTTACGACGGAAGTCCGGGTCGTGGTGGAATCGGCCACACGGCGCGCACGCGAAGGTGGACCTTCTGGGAGCGATCTGGCTTTGCCTACCTGGGTAACGTCCGTGCACAAGGCTCATACCAAGAATACCACCATCAGTACTGATGTATCTGCATAGCTTCAATCTTTTGTTTCTTAGTCATCAGTCCTGTCCCGAACTCGCGTAAGGCACTTTTAGGATGCTAGAGCGAATGCCTAGTAGATGCGCTGATCCTGTCCCAATGGATGATCTGTGGAGGCCGCTAGCGAGCTGCCGTCAAGAAACACGGTGAAGTCTTAGTCGAACTCGTGAAGGCGGGGCATGTTTCGTCAACACGGTGGTGAATGGTGGTATATCTTTCCTCGGGCGCGAAAAAGGATATGAAGACAGCGGTGAAGTAGGAGATCTGGCGGTCAAGAGTCTTGTTAATACATCCTTGAGGCGACCTGGACCGAAAAAGCAGAAAAGCCGCGTTGCGAGGTTCCACACCACCACAACACTGTAATGGTGTGCACAGAGAGAATTGCTTTGCCAGATCCTGCATCGCAGTAGTAACGAAAGACTCAAGCGAGAATGGAGGTGGTGTAAAATTTCATTATTTTCTTCTTTCAAGAAGAACGCCAATACATGCTAGCTCGTGACTGCGGAAAACATCCAAAGAAAACATGCTCTATCAAAGACAACACGCTTACATGCAAGCAGCGCCGTCAATGCCAATGACCTTTCCGTTGACCCAGTCACCGTCTTGGGAAGCAAGGAAGCAGACAACGCGGGCAATGTCTACTGGCTGACCAACACGGTTGTGAGGGGACCATGTGCAGGCGTACTCGTCGACTTGGTCGTCGCTGAGCTTGTCACCATCGGGAATGTACTCGCGGCAGACGGCGTGGTACATGTCGGTCTTGATGCCACCGGGTGCAACACAGTTGACGGTGATCCTCTTCTCGCCGGCATCTAGGTTGGGTCAGTAGATGAAGTGGAAGTGAGCATGATGTGACTTACCGATAGCCATGCACCTAGTGAATGTCTCAATGGCTCCCTTTGAGCCGGAGTAGACAGCGTGCTTGGGTACGCCCTTAGCCTGACCGGTGATGGATCCCATAAGGATGATGCGACCACCCATCTCCATCCTCTTGTAAGCCGCCTTAGCGACGAAGAACTGGCCACGGGTGTTGATGGTGAAGACACGGTCGAACTCCTCGGGTGTGACGTCCTTGAAGTGACCGAAAGAGACAACACCGGAGTTGGAGCAGCAGATGTCGAGCTTGCCGAAGTGGGCAACAACGTCGTCCATCAGCTTCTCAGACTCCTCGACGTTGCCAACGTTGGCCTTGAAGGCAGCGGCGTCTGAGCCATTGCCGAGTGCCTTGATCTCCTTGACGACTGCCTCAGCACCCTCGACGGCGTTGGCGTAGTTGACGGCGACCTTTGCGCCACGCTTGGCGAGCTCAATAGCCATCGCCTTTCCGATACCACGGCCTACATGTTTGTTAGTATGGGAGGTGAAGCTTGGGTATGATGAAGCTTACCTGAGCCGGTAACAACGGCGACCTTGCCAGCAAGGCTCCATGTCTGCTCAATTGATGCCATTTTGATGTGTTGAGGTGTTGAGATTTTGAGTTGAGGAGTGTGAAGGTGTTTGTAGTAGTGATGAGAGTGGTTGTGATGATGATAATTCCCTTCCACGGTCAAGACGAGTACATATATACCCTCTCGCTATTCGGAACGCCAGCGGAGACCGCGTTCAGTGAGTAGCTCTTTTCCATCTGCTCCACCACCGGTATCCCAACATCCATACCACTCCCCCAACTCGAAGCGTCCGGTTCGGCACTCAGCATCGCCCCCAGGAGTCGTGAGTCCTAGGGCTGAAACTGTGTACCTGCGCCGCATCTGTCCCGTAGCGTGGTCCCTGTCCCCGTAGGAGAGCCTGAGCCTCAGGGACAGACCGTCGGACAGAGGGGCCGAAGGGGGCAGGAGCGCTTGCGATTGGACAATTCCCACGAGCTGCGAGGGCCGACCGAGCAACACCAAACTTCCAGCGCCTCTCGTGCAGCACGCACCCGTTTCACGAGATCGAAACATCTTTTTTTGTCCACCGCGAGTAATGCTGGTATCTCATTGAGTTCTGCTGGTGAAGCACCAGGTATGACGCTGCGAAGACTCGCGTTTGACAGTGACAACGAATCGCGAGGCTGATGCGACACCGGCGGCATCGAAACATCTATTTTCGCATCCTCGCATGTCCACCATCAGCCGAGAGTCTTTGCTGGGAGCTCGTTGCTTCGTGATGTGACGCGAACAGATTCGAACGTCGCTGCGACGACTCGGTCCGTCGTGGGTAAGCCCAGGGCCGTAGGGTTCTGAAGATCCGACACGGTCATGTGACGTTCTGGGACAAACTTCGGACCCCTTGGAACGGTTTAGCCTGAACTCGCTCAGGGT